GGAAAAAGAGGGAAAAGAAAAACATCCTAGCTAGCTCTGGCTATTATTCCTTGGTTGGGTGAGGGTGGTGAGCCGTGCCCATCTGCACAGAGGGGGACACACTGCCCTGCTCGGTCATGGCCCTCCCCTTCCCGCCGCGCTTCCTCCCTCTGCACCTGATCAGACGTGGTTCCTGGAGTGTAATACCCCCGACCTTGGAACAGGAGGAGGCATTTACCGGCCTGCCAGTGTCTTTGGGGATTGGCTTTCCTTCCACGGAGGAGGCAGCACGGCAGGACGCTGGCAGTGAAGAGAGCCCCCGAGCTGCCACAGCGTCCAGCAGTGCCTGGGGTGCCTGGGGTGTCAGAGCCTGGACGCTCCACCTCCGCCCAGTGAGCATCCCAGCACGGGGGTGGGAAGGCAGGCAGGGCACGGAGCCGGTTTCTCACTACGGACCAGGGAGCACTGAGTACCAGAGTGGCTTGTGCCAGGGGTCTCCTGTGTCCTAATTTGCATGCCTGCGAGTAGGAACACTTTGAACACAAGTCTCAATGTATGCACATTATTTATAAATGATGAACATGTACTTCAATAATCCAGATTCTAAATACCAACAAAATCTCATTTCTTTCCTTCTCTAGCTGAAAGGGAGGTCTGGAGCCAGCAGGCAGCGGCACGGTGGTGAAGACGCTGACTCCTGTGGAGGTGACCCCATAGTTGAGTCCTGGACCAGGTGGTGTGAGAAACACGCTGGGTGTCGGGAACCAGCAGTTAGCATAATGGCTATGTCGCTGGACTCCCACGTAGTCTACTGCGGTTTGCGTCCTGGACCCGGTGGCTTAAACTCACGCCGGGTGCGTGTGCGTGCGTGCCCAAGATCCCGAGAGGAGAATGGAGGAGAAGGGATTGCGGCGTGACCATCCCCCCCGGGGGGTGATTTCTCGCTTTCTGTCTCTATGTCTCTGTCTGGCGAGCGCACGCGCCCTATAGCAAAAACCTCTCAAAAAAAAAAAAAGAAAAAGAAACACGCTGGGTGTGAGTGCCTAAAATCCTGAGGGGAATGGAGAAGGGACTGCAGTGTGGGCACCCTCCCTGGGGGTGATTTCTCCCTTCCCTCTCTGTCTCTCTCCAGCTAGCGCATGTACCCTATGGCAAATCTAGAAAAACCCAAGGGGGTGGCCTGGATCTTTCTGTGCCATTCAATGAGCCAGCCGTGGCCTCTGGTCTATTCAACAAGCTGGACACATCCAGTTTCACAGCCGAGTTCTTTTGGGGGTATCCGGGCCCGGCCTCATGCCCCTCTTCCAGCCATGCTGTCTTCGTTCCTATGGGCCCTGCCATAGAAGCTGTGGACTTCACGCAGGGTAGGAGGGAGGAGGTGGTTGGGGCTCAGGAACAACTGGATCCAGGGTCTCTTCTGTCCTGGCACCTGCTACTCCTTGTGTGCAGCCTGTTCTGCTCCGTGCAGACCTCCCGCCCGCTCCCTCATCCTCTGCTCTCATCGACAGCTTCCACCCTGGGAAAGGGCGGTGGTGGCTCTCACCCCAAAGCTGTCAGATGCCTGCTGCCCTAAAGCCACTGTGCCACAGGCTGTGTCTACAGAGAATGTGGTGGCCTAGGAGACGTGCGTGGGGGCCCCCAGGGACAGGGTGGAGCTGCTGGGTAGGCAGTTTCAGGGGCCTTTTCTGAGTCACACATTTGCTCTCGTGGCCCTCCTCCAAAAGCCTTCTGCAATTTTTTTTTTTAAGAGAGATTTTTGCTATACAGTGTGTGCACTCACTGGAGAGACAGAGACAGAAAGCGGGAATCGCCCCTCAGGGGGATGCTACGCCATAATCCCATCCTCTATTCTCCTTTTGGGATTTTGGGCACGCATGCACATGCTGCGGGCCTGAGTTTAAGCCACTGGGTCTGGCACTTGAATTGCGGTCAGCTAGGTGGGAGTGCGGCGATGTATCCATCGCACCATCTGTGGGCCCTGCCTTCTGGCTCCTCATTTCACGTGCACCGCCACGGCCATCTCTTACCCTCCCTACTTTACTTTCTGTTAGAATGTGGTTAGCCTTTATCGTGCGTCAAAAATGCATGGGCCAGATGGCGGCACAGCAGTAGTACGTACTGCTCTGTGAGGCCGACCCACATGGACGGGTTCCAGGTTCAAGTCCAGAGACTCCCCGACTATGCCAGACACCCATGTGCCCCTTGATCTGGGACCAGCTGAAGATGTGGGTGGATTGTGGGATCAATATCCTGTTGGGAGTGCTGTCTCCCTTGCTCATAAAAGAGAAAAAATAACTTCCAGAACTCAGGAGAAATGACCTGGTTGGGTAGCGGGATGAGGTGGAAGTCCCCATATCCCACTCGAAGAGAACAGCTAGGCACAACGTGAAGAAGGAGCAGCCCAGACGGAGATGCTCTGCTGGGAGACAACAGCATGGCTGTGGTCCAGTAGGAGGGGATGCTACGGTAGCAAACTCGGTCAAGGACTTCCTGCGCGAGATGAGCGCTGTTAGGTGCATCTGAGTCTCCTAACATGTCAGGAAAGTCATGACACTTTTTTTTTTTTTTTTGAGAGGCTTTCGCTATAGTGCGCGTGCGCTCGCCAGACAGACAGAGACAGAGAGACAGAAAGCGAGAAATCACCCCCCACGGGGGATGGTCACGCCGCAGTCCCTTCTCCTCCATTCTCCTCTCGGGATCTTGGGCCTGCACGCACACGCACCCGGTGTGAGTTTTAAGCAACCAGGTGCGGGACGCGAACCGTGGTCAACTACGTGGGAGTCCAGCGACATAGCCATTACGCTAACTGCTGGTTCCCATGACACATTTTTGCATTAAAAACACGTCTTTCCCAACGACCTGCTATTTTCAAATAATTTGTTATCCTGTCACCCCTGAGCAACTGCCATCGGTATCTCAGTGCTTGCTGTGCCGACGTAGGATGGCCCCCTATTCACACCCTGCGTGAAGGACCAGGAGTGGGAGGGGCTGACCCCATACCCTGCTTCCGGATGAGCCCTGCTGGACTAGCTGATCAGAGTGCAGCTATTCACTGTATGGATTGCTGTGGGGACGGTGAGGCATTCTCCTCTGCAGTAATAGGCTGGGAGCTTTAGGTGGTGACGCGGACACCCAGGTAAGAACTGCCTCCCTGCGTCCCTCACACTGTGTAGTCTCGTGGGCTGTGACGCCCTGGAAGGCCGCTGCACGTGGGCTTCAGAGCGACTCACTCATTTGAGATTGCACAGCTGTGCACACTAAGGGGCTGAGGGCAGTGAGCCCACGGCCTTGGACCCACTGGTTCTCAGCATACCCTGCACCACCCTTCCAGCTGAGTGGATGCCTGCAGGAACGGAACACCATCCTTCAGGACGCAGTGTCCCCTCTAAGCAGGCACCATGGTGGAGAACTGGAGAGGAAGTAGGTGTGGCCCCATCTCAGTCGCTCTCGCTCTGGGGGACTTGTGCTTCCTGTTTTCACAGTTCTGGGCTCTTCTAGAGGTCACAACCCCAGAGCAGGAACACATCCAGAGAGGGACTCAGGAGCCTCGTTAAACTGAGTTATGGCTGCCGCTTACTCACTTCAGTCTCCTCGTACCAGCAGACTAGCAGGCCAGGAAAGCGGTCACCTCCTGCTCTCAGAAGGTAGTCAGGAAGGACTCGTCTGGGCTTAACAAACCCCTGAGGTTCCTGGACTCGTTATTTCCCTGCCAGTTTTGATGGCCCGGGAAGGGCACGGCACCCCTGGGCTGACACTCCCCAGGTGAGGTGCCCAGGACAGCAGAGATATTAGCTGAGGGAGGGACAGTGAGTGCCTCTCGTGGCTCCAAGATCACTTCTGCTTCCTTTCCTGTTTCGCCAGGAAAGGGGACTGGCCAGTATCCTGGAGACCCTCTTCCAGCTGGGTGAACTAATGTGAAGCAAGGGGATTGAGGTGGTGCCAAGGAGGACTGTGGTCGATGCTGGGGTGTGCGGCCCAGATTCCCCTTTAGGACAAGGTTCTCATTCCCAGAAGCAGGAGTGCTGGCTGCTCATGGACACGGCCAGAAGGGCACTTCCCTGCCCAATATCGTGCTCCCTCTGCCTGGAGGTGGCCCACATCCAGGGCGCCTATGCACCAGTACAAACCCACCTGCTCATCTCAATTCAGGACATCTCTGGAGGGCTGTTCCTTGAGCTGGCCTGGTGCCTCTGCAGTATTATCGTTCAACTTCTCTCCCTTGATAAGCCTCTGCACACAACTATGTGTCTCAGCAACTTCCTAGGGAACCCAGCCTGCACCATCGATCTAGCCATGCTGAAATAGTGCCTGTTAGCCAGCAACCCTGTTTCTCTCTGCTTTAGCAGTGGTGTTCCTTCCACCTGAAACCATCCCTTGCATTTTGTCACACCTACTCAACCCTAAGTAGTAGTCACAAGGGTCACAAATCTGATGCTTCCTCCCGATTCCCTAAAGCCCCCTAGTGAACACCAGTCACTGTGGCATCACTTAAACTTGCCCTTTCCTGTAAGAATTCAAAGCAGCTCAGTGCACAGCATGGATTAAGAGTTCAATAATTATATTTTAATATATTATCATTGATATATGCAAAAAGTCACGAAGGATGTAATGAACATCTGAGCAGACATTGCTGGCCTTAAAAAATAATGCCTAATGGCGCAAATGAACTTCCTGTGAACTCCTTAGCTTTTAGCATTCTCACGCTTATAAAAAAGGAGTATCATACCTCGTGCATTCATACCCAACATTGTGAAACGGCGGACTCATTTTTACTGTCACACAGTGTGCTATGCAGTAACTGTGTAATTTATCAAGTCTACAGCAGATGACATTTGACTGCTTCTCTCCCTTACTCCGCAGCCCCCACCATCACTCGGAGCAAATGTGGGGGTGAACAGTGTTGTTTTTGCACATAGGTCAGTTGCTGCAGGGTAAATACCAAGAGTGGTGCTGCTGGGTTGCAGGGTATCTTCACCTACTAGAAATTGCCAAAAGACTGCTGAAAGTATGAGATCGATTTATATTCCCATCTGCAGTGCTCTGCTCACAAATCCACAGCATCATCAATTTTGGCCTTGACAGACTTTGAAGTTTGACTAGTCTGTCAAGTGTGAAATGGCATGTTCTTGGTTTTAATTTGCATTTGCCTAGATCTTAGTCAAGATCTTACATACTTAGTTGCTCAATAATTATGTTGCATAGGGGGCCAGCAGGTGGTGTGGTGGTTAAGGGCGCTGGATTCCCACATGACCGAGCACGGTTTGAGTCCTGGACCTGGCAGCTTCCTCTGTCAAATTAAAATAAAATAAATGAATGAATAAATAAAGTTAAATAATTCTTAAAAAAATTATGTTGCATAAATGAATATAAAAGCTTCTACTATCTGTGAGATTTGTGTAGCTGTCATTTGATTTCTGCAGTTTGGTCCCATTCCCAGACTCAACATCTGTACTCTCTATCACTTTATTATAATCATGGCAGAGGACAGGTGAGGGGGAGAAAGAGAATGCCCAAAGGGGCCTGGGCTTTGCAATCCTTTCTCCTCTAATTCTCCATCCCATCAGGATCCTGGGTATGCATGAGCCCTCCAATGTCCAAGCCCCATATCCTCGTCTGTGGACAGCTACGTTCTCCAATCTAGTGTGTGGTAAGATAGCACGAACCCATCATAATTCATACCACAGGTAGGGTCACTCCTCGCTTCCTTGTTCCTGTTGGCAGCCCTAGTGAGCCTTAACTTTGCTGGTCTCGAAGCCTTCGGTCTCGGGCTCCCTCCTTCCTCCAGGACAACAGGTAGGAAAGCGCAGGGCAAGCCACTGGGAGCAGCCAGGCTCAGGTATTATAACACCTCTGACAAGTCACTAGCTGCCCTTAACGTTCCCTCTGCACTTGTTTACAGCATTCCTTCTTCCCACTGCCACTGTTTCAGTTCTGCCACCTGGCACCCCTGAGTCTTGCAATAAGCCAGATTGAGCCACGGGGAATCTCTAGTTCCCAGTGCTGTCTTTAGGGGCTCCCTGAGGCTGTTGGGAGCCCCTTTTTGTGAAGGCCTCAGAGGTGTATGTTAGGAAGAGATCCCTGAGGCCTTCCTGAGTGCTTCTAGGAGACGATCCCAGGAGAATTCTTGAGGCTAAGTCAGGAAAGGGTCCTTAAGGATACACTGAGTTTTTATCAGTTCTCTGGAGATTGCATGAGGTTGTGTGAGGACAGGACTTGGGCATTCCCAAGGACATGGAGCAAATGAGCCTGAAGGTGTGTATCTGGAAGGGCTCCCTAGAATCCACTGAGGCTGCCCCAAGGAGGAGGTTCCCAGAGTATCTAGGCTGTGGCAAATGGAGCCTCTGGAGTTTTCTCCTGTGTCAGGTGTTGAGGACAGGATCAGAATAAGGCACAGGCCCCACCCCGGCAGTGTGGAAACAGGTAAAATAAAAATGTAGTCAGGTGAATGTGGGGTGTGTACAGGAGCTGTGGAGGGTCCTGCTCTTACAAAACAGGGTGTAAAACTCAGGCATTATGAGAGCTGAGGGTGCCACTAACTACTGGGTGAGCAGAGAGCAGAGAGGGCGTGGCTGGCACGTGACTGACATAACGTACATAAAGTACCTTAGTACGGTGCTTTGCACATAGTAGGTACCAAGTCAGTGTTACTCCTCACCAGTGAATGAAGAGGCATGGAAAAAACAATAGATTAAAAAAAAAAAAAAGCAAAAAAACCAAAAAGACGCCTGGCAGTGGTGTGTCAAGGGGCTCCCAAATCATCCTGAAGCTCCAGTCTGAAACGCCAGTCCTTGAGCCCTGTCTTTAGTCTAAGGCCCCTAGGGATATAATGCAAACCACTTATGTAATTCCAAGTTTTCTGGCAGCACATATTCCCATACCAAATCTTTGGAATCCTGCACTTCCCATGTTGATCGGGCTGGTTGACGTCTCCAGGAGTGACAGCCGTCAGCGGCCGGGGCCGGGCCAGGGGAATTCGTGCCCGTGTGCTGAGCGGCTCTTCGGTCCACGCTGCGCTTCAGGACCGCCGCCCATTGCCTCCGGCAGCTCCACGTCACTCCGCAGCTGCGCCTCTTGCCTCGCAGCGCTGAACACAACTCATGCACGTAGCATTTACCGGTCCCCCACTCGGTGCCGGGGAGACCGCTGGGTCACCCGCGCCGGGGCTGCTTTCCAGCTTCCCGAGAGTGGCGCGGGCGTCGGGGCACGAGCCAGGCCGCGCTCGGTCTTGCTGCAGGATCAACTCCTAGAAAGCGCTCAGCGCGAGAAGCCGAGTCGGCACGGCCGGGCTCGCGTCGGAAATGCAGGGCTCCAGCTCGGCCGGGGCAGCTCGCCCTCGGGGTCGGGGTCGCGCTCGGGCGGGCGCGGACCAGGCCCAGCAGCGCGCGCAGAGCCCAGGCCAGGTCGCCCCCACTCCTGTCTCTCCGCTCGTCGCTCCTCGATGACGTCCACACCCCGCGCGTCGCGTCGCACGCCACCTGGGCTGAAGGCGGGACTTCCGGGCAAGAGGAGGCACAACTTCCGGAGGGAGGCGGAAGAGCTTCTGGGTTCTCTGCTCGGGAGTCCCGGGACCGCTGAGAGGCCGCCCGGGGTGCAGGAGAGGACTGCTGGCGGCGCGCGGGCCGCTCTCGGGTGCCGGGCCACGGCTCTGAGGCATGAGGAGCGGCCATGGCCAGTGACGGGGCCAGGAAGCAGTTCTGGAAGCGCAGCAACAGCAAGGTCCCGGGCAGGTGGGTGTGACCGGAGGCCCCGGTCGGGGGCAGGGGGCGGAGGGTAGGCATTTTTTGGGGGGCCCGGGGTGGGGGGGTACGGGGGGCGGCCGTGGGAGTGAGGCCGGCAGCAGCGGGAGGCGCTGCCGAGAGGTGACCCAGAGGCCCCCGGGCGCCTCCCTGGGGAGGTCGAGCAGAACCCCGTGGGGTCGTGCAGCAGAGTTCCGTGGAGTCCACCTGGCCGATCGGGCGTTTGTGCGGGGCCGCGGCCGCGGGGCCTTGGACCACTCGGTTGGCCTGGCCTGCCGGTGGGTGCTGCTCTTGCCCTGACCATGGAAGAAGGTTAGAGGCGCCCTGTGGGTGTCCATGTTCCCACTTTCTGGCCTCAAAAGCAACTCCTATCCTGTGTCAGCAGCAGGAAGCAAATCAAACATTTTTCCTCCTTAAAAAAAGTTAAATACCAGGATGACCTGGGCGCACCCTGGAGACTCTATAGCTCCAAAGTCCTCGCCCGACTGATGTGGCACGAAGTCCCGGCCAGGATAAAAACAGCCCTGGTGAAGACAGGTTGGAGACAAGCAGACGTCACCATCTGAAGCGGGGTTTGTTCTGCCCGACCCTGAAGTCTGAGATACTGAAAACCAAGAACTGTGATATCTCTGGGCCAGCCTGCAGTGTGGTGGCTAAGGTGGCTGAATCCCACCTGATCTGCAGCATGGTTCGGGTCCTGGAGCTGGCAGCTTGAAAGCCATGCCCATGTGTATGCGTGCCCCAAATCTAGAGTGGAGAACAGACTGTGGTGTGACCATCTCCTGTGGGGGGTTGCGCTTTCTCACTTTCTCTCTCTCTGTCTCTCTGTTCAACAAGCACATATGCCTGCTAGCGAATTAAACAAGAAAATTAAAATTTACATTCATTCATAAACATGGTGAAAATGGTTTGTGCCCTTGCATTTCATAATATATGCTATTGTTTGAGGCTGCAACTGTAAGCTTTGTAATTCGTTGCAGCGGGCCAGATTGACTTCAGTTACATGGGAGTTGGCAGGCGGGAAGGAGTGACTGTGGACACGGTGACTTTGAGGAGGAAGGACCATCACAGGTGGCCAGAGACCCGGTTTTACTCCACAAGGTTGTGCTGACTGAAGAAGCGTAAGAGCCTTGACGCAAACCAGTGCTAGGGCCCAAGAGGAGGTGAAGCTTTCGGACTGACGGAGGGCCATTCCAGAATGGTAGGGACAGTGCTGTCGAACAGTCTGGGATAAGGAGCCACATGGCAGTGTGATGTTTATGTGTCACTTTCAGGTCTTGAGGTCCTTCTGAGCTCTGCTTAAGGCTGCACAGCCAACGAGGTGTGAGAGTGGTGGAGCTGCTGCAAGCCTTTGGTCACTTGTCCTTGCACTGGGTGGAACAGTGTCCCTCCCCAGCCCATGTCCACTACAACTTGTGAATGTGATGTTATTTGGAAATAGAGTCTTTGCAGAAGTCTTGCAGCCAAAATAGTCATAGTGGATTCTCATGCTCTGGCTCGTGTCCTTACAGGAGGAGGAAAGTTTGGACTCGGAGAGAGCATGGGAAGATGGCCCAGTGAGGACGGAGCAGGGTGGAGCCGTGCATTTATAGGCCTGGGGAAGCCAGGGGTTGCTGCAGCCACCAGAAGCTAGGAGGGCCCCCAGAGGTCTTCAGAGATGTTACGAGAACGCGGCTGGCCACACCCGCCCGTGTGCCCCTGGCCTCCAGCACGCTGAGCTTGGAGCGTTGTTTGGGCAGCTACGGGGGACTGCCAGTCGCAGCCTCTGCGAAAGCTGCCTGACCGCACTTCACTTCCCTTGGGATCTGACGCAGGCACTTTGGAAAGCTGCTCCCGTGCTCCCCACATAGGCTGGAGTCGAGTCTTGGAGAAGTGTCGGGCGGGTACCAAAGAGAGCAGCTTCCTGAGACCGCCAGCTCTCTCGAGTGGGTTCCGGGATTGTCTTGGTCTCTGCGTGTTTTTTGAGTGCAGACCTAAACACAGGAACCAGGAGGAAGGCTGTCCCCACCACAGAACAGGACCATGGGGGGCCTTTGTGTGCCCGGCCTCCGTCAGCCCTGCCGCAGTGCAGGCCGGCCCGCATTAGCCCTGGTGTATGTTGGGTGCTGCTCTGGATGCTGTGCAAGCGCGGGGTCTCCAGTGGTTTGTAGTTTGCATGCCACGAGCTTTGCTCCAAGTGCGCTCATGGAGGGGACTTGCTTTTCCCCAGGCTCTTATCACAGGGAATGCATGCTTGCCCAAGAGATGGAGAGACAGTGAGAGGAAACTTGATCAGGTGGTCAGAGAGCCCCTCACAAGAGGGTGACATTTGAGGAAAGCTTTGCAGGTGAGAGAACAGGCCCCTGGGTGCTGGGGGCAGCACGGTCCGGCGGGGCTGGCCAGTGCTGTTGTGTTTGGATGGAGGAGCAGGGCCACAGTGTCTCGTACAGAGGGGCCACAAGGGCAGCGTGGCAGGGTCTGTGGCCTGGTGAAGACAGACTTAGTTTTAATCCATAGGAACGGGAACCTGTGGAGGGTTCGAGCTGCGCCGTGGCATGGCATCCTTGGCCCTTTGCCCTTTGGCTGTGGTGCTGAGGACTGGAGGAGGCCGTGGGGGTGGGCAGCGGGCATGGTCAGAAGAGGGGGACCAGGGAGGAGGCTGCTGCGGTGCCCCCTGAGGGCTGGTAGTGGTCCTGGGGTGGCGACAGGCTGTGATGAGAGTTGGAAGGTTTAGGTTTAGGGTGAGGTCTGGGGCCCAGGCCTTCTCGGCTGTGGACTCTCGGGGCTTAGCTGCTGCTCTCTGCAGTTGCCGGTGGATGTCTTGCTGCCTCACCCTGAGCGCCTGGTCGCGGTGCACTGGGCTTGGGGACACGGGCAGCCTCCAGTGCGGGGCAGCCTTTGCTACCTCGGCCAGCGCTGCTCTGAGTATGACTGCTGAGTGGGATGGTGACAAGAAAGGCCCAGCTTGAATGTGACAAGGCCTCGGGTGCCAGGTGAAAGCTGGGGCAGACGAGGGTTCTCAGTGTCGTGGCTCTGACACTTTTAGCTGCATCGCCAGAGCCATGAGCAGTCTGAGCAAATGAGACAGTCAGCTCTGCGTCAGCTCCACAGGCCACCGTGGGTCATCAGGGGATGATGACTTGGTTCAGAAAGCAGAGCACACACTTCCGCAGTGCCAGGCAGCGTGCAGAATGCTGGGTGGACAGATGTGCCCTCAGAGGCAGGAGTGGGGGCAGTGCCATGCAGATGCTCAAACACTGGTTGAAGTGCTTTTTTTTTTTTAATTTTAAAAATAATTTTGAGTTATTTAATTTCATTTATTATTATTTTGAAATTTGACCAGAAAGAAAGAAAAAACAAGCTGCCAGGTCTGGGACTTGAACTGTGGTCAACTATGTGCAAGTCCAGTGCCCTAACCACCATGCTACCTGCTGGCCCCTGAGAGGAGAATGAGAAGGGATTGCACCTTATGGAGGTGATTTCTCACTTTCCCTCTCTCTGCTCTCTCTAGTGAGTGCACATGCCTATGGCAAAGACCTAAAAAAAACCTTTTATTCCAGAGGGCATGTGCATTCTCCAGAGAGAGACAGAGAGAAAAAGGCAAGAGAGCATCCCACGCGGAGGAGAAAAGACCAGGAAGCACCCCACACGGAGGACGGTCATTCCACGGCACACACGCACATGCACCTAGTGTGTTTTTCAAGCTGCCGGGTCTGGGACTAGAACTGCACATGGTTGGCCGTGCAGGGTCAGGCCCTCTCAACCACTGACATCACGTCTGGCCCGAGTTTGGCTTTTTCAAATTTCTACTTTATTGGGAATGAAGAGCGTAAGTCTCCCCCTCTGGGGTTCTGTTAAGGAGAACTGGGAGGTGATGGAGGGCTTGAGGACAAGGTCCCGAAGCCCGACGTCTGTTTCTTTCCCCAGCTGCCACGGTCTAGCCTTGCCCGCCGTCAGCCAGGGCAGGAGTGAGGTGAAGGGGTGTCTTGCTCAGGGGCCGAGTGGCACCTCTTCCTCCCTCCTCGGCAGGCTTGGTGTCTCTGCCCTGAGTGTCTTGTTCATCTCTGTACACCAACCACATAGCGGTTGCCCCAGGTGGCACTCTGGGTGCAGCGGTGAGTCTAGGAACCGCTGGAGGGTTGCAGGAAAGCGGGTGCGGGAATGTCGCTGTGCCAGGTCCTGGGAGCGCGGTGACTGACCACTGGTTCTTTCTCTTGAGTCCAGGAAGGGAGCGTCCGTACTGAACAGCTTCCTGGTCAGGGTTCAGCGCTGTGCTTGGGGGATGGAGGCGGGGTCTCAGAATGGGGTGCTGTGGGCCTGGGGGACACCTCGCACCAGCTGTCGTTTACGGGACGCTTCCCTCGGCCAGGCTCTTCACCTGCCACCACCCTTTCAGTCCTCGCAGGGCTGGGCAGGGGGAGGGTCCCATGTGACCTGGGCGAGGCTCTTCACCTACGATTACCCATGTATCCTTGCTAGGCCGGGTGGGGGTGGTGTCCCACGTGACGTGACCTGCGTTATCCAGATGAGGCTCGGGTCCAAGCTGAGGCGCTCACTCCAGGTCCCATAGCGTATGGGGAGCAGAGCTGGGACTTGAACCTGGGGTTTGCTGAGTCTCTGCCTTACCATGACAGCACACCACAGCACGCCCGCACCTGGCAGCTCCTGGCAGTCGCTTTACAGGTGCCGAAGTCAAGTCAGTGCCAAGAACGCTGACACGCCACCAGGAACCTGGTTCCTCCGAAGGGTGGGTTGAATCTCGACTGCTGCCCTGGGAACCCATCTCGAGGCCTGCCTCAGTCCTGGCGCTTGGCTGGGTGTTCTCGGACTCCAGCCCTGGGGCTGCAGCTGGGTGCGCCGTGCTGGCGTTCCCTTTGCCGCTGAGAGGCCCGGAGGGGACAGCTGGCTGGTCCGCACTTCGAAGCCCCTCATTTAGGGAGCTTATGTTCTGATACCCCCAGACTCTGCTGCTCCTTGCTGCGGTGCAGCCTCCTCATTTGTGGGGGTCTGTG